ATAAGGAAGAAGAAAAAGAAAGAACAACTCAGCCATCCTTATCCTAATTTCCTTTCTTTTTAAGTCCCTCAAGTTTGGACATTTTGATCATTAAGCCTCAAAACACTATTTTCTCACACAAAGGTCCTTAACTTAATGCTAAAATACCCCAAAATTTTGGGATATTACAGTCCTGATGATCTGAAAGTGATTGGTAAATTATGTTTTTCTGTTAACTTCAGCCTGTTTTGTCTCCGATGTGGTTATGTTCTTGTAACCCTGCTAGTGGGGGTTAAACGCTAGCACATGTCGGCACATGTCGATATGTTCCTGTTAGAACCGGTTCGTTCCTGTAACCTTGATAGTGGGGGTTATACACTAGTAATTCCTGTTGCCTGCCAGTGGGAGGTTTAAACATTGGCCATGACCTATAGAGGAGACGTCTATTTCGTTCTCGCACTGTATCCGTTTTTCGTGATTGTACTTGTTGGCATGCTATAAGTTTAATAAGGGCACTCCATATTTTACTTATTGAGTTTATCTCATAGTTTTTCTTTGTCCACCATTTCAGGAAGCGAAACTGAGGACGGGGAAACCACGGGAAGTGACGAGTTAGAAAGCTAGCCATTTCAAGATTGATATAGATTTTTAGAAATAAATCATGATCTTGTAAACTAGAGTGTATTGGAGATTTTATGATATGAAAGAAAATTTTAAAGATTTGATCTTCAGATTTTGGTGGTATCAGAGTACAGTATGATAAGTTTCGAGCCTTGTGCATTTGTGGAACCTTCTCACGAGTGCACAGCATCTGTCGCACCTCGAATTCGAGTTTTGGGGCGTGACACATTCGGAATGCTACGGTTTAAAATGAGAGTAGAACGAGTTAATCATGAAATAACAAAAAAAATAAAAAGCTGTTGTTAAGGGGAATATACGGACCGATCCCGGTCTGTATATATATACAGACCGGTATCGGTCCGAATATAGGCATTCCCAGGGATTTTTTATCCTAAAACTAAATTAAATTAAGTATGAATATATATATGTACCGGTTTTGGTCTGAATATACGCAAAGAATCTAGAAGCTTCCATGTTTTCATTTTTTAGACCGAGTTTGGTCCGAATATGGTAGAAAAAAATCCAAAAACTACTCCCAGTTCACATTTTTATTCTTTTCATTTAAGGACATTACCATCTTCTCGTGTCCTAAATCCATTCCTGCGAAAACCAATTGCATGTACATTAACCCTAGAATCCCTTGAAACCACAAAACCATCGATTGTCTACCTGAAATTATCTTACGATGGTACAGAGTAATATCGTTGCAAAACCACGAACGTATAAGTTAAAGGTTATTAGAGATAATGTTACGTAATGTTCTTCCGGAGCCACAAGCAAATAAAATTAATTTTTTTTATTTAAGTTAACCACTTTGGATTGCAAACATTCGGAATGTTATGGTTTAAAATGAGAGTAGAACGAGTTAAGCATGAAATAACAAAAAAAAATAAAACGCTGTTGTTAAGGGGCATATATGGAATATAGGGACCGATCCCGGTCTGTATAACTATATACGGACCGGGATCGGTCCGTATATATCATTATAAAAAAACAATACAAAATAAAGAAAATAGATTTATTTTATTTAATAATTACGTAATATTACCAAATAATGCAAAAATATATTTTACCATTTAAAATAAATGCATTTATAAAAAAATAAAATATGTTTGGAATAATTATTTAAAATAATGATTTAAAATATGTAAAAGTTTAACTATATTATATATGAAAAATTTTAAAATTCACCAAATGTAATCCAAAAAACAAAAAGTAAAAAAGCTACTGTTCCAGAAATATACGGACCGATCTTGGTTTGTACACATATATACGGACCAAGATCGGTCCGTATATATCATTTAAAAAAAACCAATAAAAAATAAAAAAAGCAGATTTATTTTATTTAATAATTACATAATATTACAAAATAATGCAAAAATATATTTTACCATTAAAAAAATGCATTTATAAAAAAAAAATAGATTTGAAATAATTACTTAAAATAATTACTTAAAATTTATAAAAGTTTAATTATATTATATATGAAAAGTTTTAAAATTTCACCAAATGTAACCTAGAAAAAAAAATTAGAAAAGCTACTGTTTACGGGATATAGGGACCGATCCCAGTCTATATAACTATATACGAACCAGGATTGGTCCCTATATATCATATAAAAAAAACCAATAAAAAATAAAGAAAACAGATTTATTTTATTTAATAATTACATAATATTACCTAATAATGCAAAAATATATTTTACCATTCAAAATAAATGCATTTATAAAAAAATAAAATAGATTTGGAATAATTACTTAAAATTTATAAAAATTTAATTATATTATATATAAAAAGTTTTAAAATTTCACCAAATGTAACCTAGAAAAAAAAATAGAAAAGCTACTGCCTACGGGATATAGGGATCGATCCCGGTCTGTATAACTATATACAGAGTTATACAGACCGGGATCGGTCCGTATATATAATATAAAAAAATGATAAAAAATAAAAAAAATAAATTTATTTTATTTAATAATTACGTAATATTACCAAATAATATAAAAATATATTTTACCATTCAAAATAAATGAATTTATAAAAAAATAAAATATGTTTGGAATAATTACTTAAAATAATTACTTAAAATTTGTAAAAGTTTAATTATATTATATATGAAAAGTTTTAAAATTCACCAAATGTAACCTAGAAAAAAAAAATAGAAATGCTACTGTTTATGAGATATAGGGACCGATCCCGGTCTGTATAACTATATACGGACCGGGATCGGTCCGTATATATAATATAAAAAAACAATAAAAAATAAAGAAAACAGATTTATTCACCAAATGTAATCTAGAAAAAAAAAAAAAAGAAAAAAGCTACTGTTCTGGAAATATACGGACTGATCTTGGTCCGTATACATATATACGGACCGAGTTCGGTCCGTATATATCAAATAAAAAAAACCAATAAAAAGTAAAGAAAACAGATTTATTTTATTTAATAATTACATAATATTACCAAATAATGCAAAAATATATTTTACCATTCAAAATAAATGCATTTATAAAAAAATAAAATAGATTTGGAATAATTACTTAAAATAATTACTTAAAATTTGTAAAAGTTTAATTATATTATATATGAAAAGTTTTAAAATTCACCAAATGTAACCTAGA